CACCAAGGTAAACAATTGAATCTATGAATACACATCACAATACAGAAATATATTAATATCTGTGCACAAAATAAGGAATATATAGTTAGCACAAAGAGATAGAAAAATTGAAACATAGTGTTAAAAAGATAGTATGATTCTGATGTGTCCTATACTGGGGTCTAATGTATATACAAGCAAAAAGATACAACCAATGAACAATGTTCATGTTTTACTACCAAACTATAATCCCAGAATGTTGTTCTGTGATTAAAAATGCTTATTCAGCAGAACAAATTGCACACAATATACAAAACAATAACGAAAGAACTGTAAACTATTTCTCTTCACTTTTGAGCTTTTGGTTAAAAACTATACCGCTGATCATTGATGCTGTTGTGAAACTTAGCTTCTATCCAATAGGTATATCTAAGGCACATAATTATTTTAAAAGGTTTGCTACTTATCTTTTGTATCAAATATGTTCCAGTTTTTAGAGCTTCCTTTATAGAAACTCAGTGTTAGGAGAAAAATGCTCTTTAAAACAAATTCAAATTAGACACATCCTGATTTTCACTGCATTGTCAAGAAACTGATTTTCCACTGGCTTATCAAGGAGTGCCCTTGTTGGAACTCTGTGTTTAGAACAGAGTTGTGAATTTGTATTTGCCAGTCAGAAACAGGTGTTGCAAGTGAAAGCAGTGATGATTAAATCGGTACAAAATTTAACTACAGATGAGTTAAACCAGTAAACTTGAGAGAAAATGTTTCATAGATGGCATCTTACACCTCTAAAATTGGCAAAAATGGTGTCAGGAGCAACTCATATTGGAAGTGTGGTGAGCAACCTGGGACGTTTTTTCATATGTGGTAGACATGTGATAGGGTAAAAAGATTTTGGAGACAGATAAAAGATATTACACAAGAAATTATACAACAAAAAGTAGCCTTTAAACCAGAAATGTTTCTGCTGAATATTGTGCCAGAAATTGTTGATAAAAAAATTAAATATATGTTGTTGCACATATTTACAGCTGCAAGGCTGATTTGGGCCCAAAAATTGAAAAATCAGGACAACCCGAAGGTGGTGGAGCTGATTAAAAAATTATTGGATATTGCAGAAATGGATAGCCTGTCAGAGGCATTACATGAGAACCCAAGAACATATGTCAAAGAAAGCTGGAAAATATTTTACGATTGGACCCAGAAACATGAGTAGAGAATAGACCATGGATTTTAGTATTGTAACACCGCCATGGAGCCAAGATTATACTATATACTATATTATTGTAACCACTTCCCTGTGTTTTCCTTTTGTTCCCCTCTATCTGTATTCCTTTGAGTGTTGTTTGTTTATGTGATGAAAATTAAATAAATAAATAAATGAAACAGGAGTTTCAAAAGTGGTTAACTTACAACTTTTACAGCTACCAAATGTACAATGCTCTAGTGTAGGGTTTCCCAATCTTGGGTAACCCAGGTGTTCTTGAACTGCTGTTCACAAAAGCCTTCAACGCTAGTTGTCCTGGCTGGGGTATCTGGGAGTTGCAGTCCAAAAACTCCTGGGGTGCCCGGGGGGGGGAATCACTGCTGTAGTGGTTTTGAGCACCTCTTAACTCTTCCCAAACTGGAGGAATATAGTATTTTTTTAGAAGCAGAAAGCTGTTGTCTACTTCTGTTACTAGAAAGTTGTTTAATGAGTTAAAGACTGGTTCTTGTTTTGTTTACCTAGAAACTTGTGCAACTCTGGCAACCTCATGGATTCTCCAAGGGTGAGACAGACTATCAAAGAATGAATGGGGAGAAAGTGGAAGTCACTTCCAGTTTTGGAATTAATTTTGGTGTTGAGTACTGAAGGAGGAGGATTGAGGTGTGGCTTATTTGAAATATTAATCTTTGCTCCTGGACCTACGGGAACAACAATCTGGCTTTCTTGCTGAGGGAAACAGTTTTTAGGGTAAATGAGCGGAGAGCATAGTGAAGCTGAGAGCTGCATTTTACAAACCACAGGAACAATTGAAAAAGTGTTGTAAAGGTTGTGGTTGTTTCAATGGCTACATTGGAATGAGAAAAAAATTAAAAAGGCCGTCTGGTTCTGAAATGGGAATGGTTCATTGTGTGCGTAATTTGCCACCTATAATGGATTACAGGGTGGCACAGACAGGATATTTTGCTTCGTTTATTTACCCTTTGATCATATACAGACATGCTCAGGTTCTACATTGCTGCATCATGTCCCTGCAGTGTGCTTTATCCAATATCTGTGTATGAAATGCTGTGATTCTCAAATCTTCTGTAAATTTCACAGCACATGGCTTGGATTTATAATAAGGCACAGAAATAACATGTTTTTACATAACTTTTGCTCAGGAATTAGGGAGAGTGGGACATTTCAAGAATGCTTCTGGTTGTATCTAGAGAACTATAAGTAGAAAAAGAAGGATTACAGAAGAGGGGTTTCTATCCCTTATGGCACAGAAGATTCCTGGGACTGGATGGGGTTAGGTCAAAATTAGGTGAGCACAGAATCGTCTGTTTTTAGGTATTTTGCACAGCAATCAATTGTTCCGCTGATAAAGTGTGTCTCTCATACAAACATGATTGTAGTCTTGTTTCCTGGCAGAATGCAAAGTGCTACTTTTGACCTACAGAACCCCCCAAAATTTGGGGCTTGGATATCAGAACAATAACCTCCTTCCATAAGAATCTGTCCACTAGCTTTATAATGGGGTTTCTGATGATGGCCCATCACACTGAGACAGTTTTTTTTGGGAATAACAACTCAGTTATAGAACTCTTTACTGACAGAGATGAGATTAGCTCCCTTGTTCAGTTTTAGATTATCATTAAAGATTTTCCTTTTGTGGTAAGATTTTTAAATCTTTTTAAAAAGATTTTTTAACATCTTATCAATAGGGTCTCATGAATGCATTTGTATTATTTTATTCCTTGTTTCATGTGAAATGTTAAAATATTATGTGCTTCTTGGGGAAGAGACTACGGGTTTTCAACTATTTTCAGGTTTTCAATATAGGGTGGCACTTTATAGTGGTCACAGGTCCCTTTCTGCTCCTCACACCTTTGAGCAGTATCCCTCATCTAATCTGTGAATATTTCGAGGCAACTATGAAGGTGCTGTGGGGAAGACTGGAGTACAGGAATTGCTTCTACTAGTCTCATTCCACACATCTAAATCCAGATCCAAAGCACAGTTACTAAATCCCACATATTTAATATTCTTCATATTTTAAGTTTTCGAATGTCAGCGTTTTTTGAGTCACTTCAAAGTTTTACAGAGATAGGCCATTTCATACATCAAAAAACAAATTTAACCTACACTGTTGTCATTCCCAAGCAATTTCTTCATTCACTGATAGGGCAGAACTATTATGCTGCTAACTTATTCCAGTCTAGTCTTTGCCAAGGGAACACAAATTTTGAAACTGAGAACACTTTTGTACAGAAGAACTGTCACATAGGTGTCTCCCTAAGCTTTTTGTCTAATGGCTACCTCCAGCAAATAAAAATCCTTTATGTACACTATTTCTAATGGCTTTTGTCAACCAGAAGTTCTAAATTATACATGCTGTTACAGAAAAGGCCAATTAAGGTTTCATATTCACTGAAAAATCCCATGGTAAGACTGCAATCATGTCCATGGTTTCTACTGGACTGAAGATTTAGAAAATGGCTCAAAACAAAACAGAACAAATTCACAACTGAGTACATTCTAGATTCTCATATAAGGGTTTTCCAATCTATAAATACAAACTCTGAGACCTTAGGCACTTCCTGAGTGTTAAAAAAATGAATTGGCGATAGTATTCTACATGCAGGTTTCCATTAGCTGTTTCTTAGTGTGACACCCAGGGAGTGCTGTGGAAATGCAAAATCTCTCTCCGTCTCCACCAGGACCCGTACTCAAGCATTTATGTATACTGGGTTCAGAGAATCCCCTATCAACCTTGCTGCTGCAGAGAAAGGAACGTAATCTAAGCAATTCTCTCTTACCAGTCATTTCGGTCAGTGAGAGTAATGAATGCAATCAGTGATTATTATTATTCTGCAGATTCAGAATTCAGGGTTCACATATAGAAACACCTGCTGTAGCAACACAAGAGAACTGTCAATTAAAATGCTACCCCTCATACATGGCCATAATGATATCTTACAGAGCAAAGGTTTTTCTCTGCCAGAATTCTGTAGAAAGCAGCTGGCCATGCATTTATTCTACATTTGCTTTTGCCAGCTGTAACTGCAATAGTCCATCTATTGTAAATAGACTGCATAATTACAAACTATTAAAACATTCTGGCATTTTATACATTTATTTAAAATATAATTTGAAAAATGAGTAGATGAACACACAAAACTATAGAGTTCTTTAAAGAAAGCCTACTATCATTATATGCTCATACAATTGGCCTTGATCTTTTAAAGAAGCAATCAGTTTATCAAGCAAAGCTAAACCACAGACTACACTGCTCAAGTACTAAAGAAACATCCAAGTAATATGCATGTGCACAAATCCTTTCTTGCTACACTGTTTCTCAACATTTTCATTTAGATACCTCAGCCAGAGAGAGCGATAGTTTCCTGTATCAGTATAACTATACATGATTGTCTTTGCCATTTGATGCTTGGTAGATCTGGTTCTAGAGAGAGGCTAAAGGAGAGAAATACATCAACTTCTATGGATGTATATTCTCTTTCTCTTGTGCCTAAGGAACATTTTCCATCTTTAAGAACTTGAAGACTGTACATATCACCAAAGTGTTCCACTTAGCCAAGATAAAGTAAAATATAATACTGAGTGAAGAAGCACATTTATAACTGGATCTAGGATCACTACATATATTTGAAGCCTCAGTGGTTAAACTGTAGTATCACTGTCAAAACTCTGCTCACAGTCAACATTTGATCCCAGCAGATTCTGGCAGCTGACTCAGACTTCCATCCTTCTGAGGTCAGTAAAATGAGTACCCAGCTCACTGGGTGTGTGTGCAATGTGTAGCTTGTATAATTAAATTGTAAACCACTTAGTGAGTGCTTTAAGCATTATGGGGCAATATATAAGCAGCACACTTTGCTTTACATGTTTCAAACTTATGTTCAGCTCACCATCAGGAGGTAAGATCAGCCCCTGCAGACATAGAACTTTCTTTACACCTCCCTCTGCACTCAGTTACATCCCATACCATATTTTTAAACTTTTGCCCTGGACTGACGTGTCCAAAGGTAGGCTTCTGTTAACATAGACAAAATATGGCTGCCCCTCACATTAAATGGAATGCTGCCTTGGGCAGTGAGGGCAGAACACCTGTGGGATGCTGGAGACTAGAGTTGTGTGTTACATTTGTGCCTTGTAAGCTCTGCTTTCCCCAGGTACAGCAGCAGAAGCTCTCACCCTTGGCACTGACAAAAAATCCAACTTCCAGTCTACTTAGCTCTTCTACAAGAGAGAGGGGGGCATTTGTTCTTCATTTTAGGTAGCAAAATGTCTTGCCACATTTTCTCTAACTGAATTGTTTGGACTGGAACATGAGTTGGGGAAAGTCATTCTAGCACAGTGATAAATACAGATCAAGCAATACAAACTCCAATGAGCCTTATATCTGTTTTCTCCATATATTGTCTAGAAATGCCATGATTCCCAATGTGGCATCTAAAGCTTCCACTGTTACATTCCTATAAGACAGTCTTATGCCTGTAGAAAACCAAATTATCCAGTCAAGATCACTTAAGGTCAAACAATTTGCCCATCAATTTCAAGATGAAATGAGGAATTGTAAGGAAGTTCTGTAGCCACACCAATTATTAACACAAAAGGGGAAAAATACAAACAAACAAACAAACAAAAAAACCAGGAAGGGCTCATTATAGCAATCCCAGCTATACCAGAGAAGTTTCTGAAGCTGCTAAGCAAGTATCTGCAGTAAGGTTGTTTCAGTTATTTTAAAAATTTCAGAGATGCCTCTTAAGATTCTTGCAAAATGTCATGTAAAATGTTCGCTGATTATTCCATTTTCTTATGCTTGGGAACGGGGGACTTCTGGAAGCTTAGGTTGCCAAACATGCAGCATCAAGGCATCACACCCGAATGGCTAAACATCCTTAAAACACTTTGGCATGCCTGTTCAGAAGAGAATCATTTGATGCTTTCCTGAAATAAGAAGGTGCCCAATCCACAGAAGGGTTTCCCAGCAGACTGTGCATGAACATCAGAAGCAGCTCTTACTCAGGTGGAACATGCAACCTTATAGCAATCCCAACAGCAACCTGATTAAATACAGCTTCCAGAAAAGATTTCAGCATCTAGCTCTTTAAAGCAGTTTTGTTTAGTTAATACAGCAATGACTTGCTCAGTTTTTACAATCATTCACAGTACTGCATGCTTATAAGGGGCTATGTGACAGATGGACTGATCTTGAATGTTCATGTGTTCTGCTGTTTAGACTTGGGAATTTCCATGAAGAGGCAACTGAAATGGAATCATGGAGTATTCAACAGCTCTGCTTGCAAATTCACCCAGCAAAGGCAATCCAACAGGTTTAAGAGGCCCTATAGAAAGGAAACAAATAATTAAATCCTGGACATCATATATTTTTATGTATGAAGTAATAACGGCAAATCTGGCAGGAGACAGTCATTACCATCCAACAAGTTTAATCAATAATTAATAATACATGTCCTTTTGTATAACTATTTTTCTTTTAAGAAAAAAACCCAATACTGCGAAGTTAATCATAGAATAATTGAGTTGGAAGGGGCCTATAAGGCCATCGTGCCCAACCCTCTCCCTCAGTGCAGGAAACCAAGTCAAAGCAGATCTGACAGATGGTTGCCCATTTTTTTCTTGAATTGCCTCCAGTGTTGGAGCACTCACCACCACCCAAGCTTCCACTGTTGTACTGCTCTACCAGTTAAGAGGTTTTTCCTGATATTCAGCTGAAGTCACGCTTCCAGTACCTTGAGCCTATTATTATGTGTCCTGCATTCTGGGATAATTGAGAATAGATCCTGCCCCTTCTCTGTATAGCAACCTTTCAAGTATTTGAAAAGTGCTATCATATCTCTCCTCAGTATTCTTTTCTCAAGCTCAACATGCCCAGTTCTTTCAGATTTCCTCATAAGGCTTGGTTTCCAGTTCCCTGGTTATCTTTGTTGCTCTCCTTTGAACTTGATCCAGTTTCTTAGCATCCTTCTTAAAGTGCAGTGTCCAGAACTGGACACAGTACTCAAGATAAGGCCTAATCAGTGCCAAATAGAGGGGATTTGGAGACTATGCTTCTGTTAACACAGCCTAAAACAGAATTTGCCTTTTCTGTAGCCACATTGCACTGTTGGCTCATATTCAGCTTGTGAGCTACAAAAATTCTAAGATCGTTCTCACTTGTATTACTGAGCCCCTATCTTGTAACTCTGCATTTGAGATTTTCCCCCTAGGCATAGAACTTTGCACTTATTGCTGTTAAATTTCAATATGCTGCTTGCTGCTCAATGCTGAAGCCTAACAAGATCAATTAGAATTTTTTTCCTGTCTTCCAAGCTATTAGCTAATCCACCCAATTTTGTGTCAACCTTAAATCTTTTAAGTATTCCCTCTACCCCTTCATTCAAGTAATTAACAAAATACTGAAGGGCACCAGGCCCAGAACTGAGCTCTGTGGTACTCCACATTATCTCCTTCCAGTCTGAAAAGGACCCATCGATATGCACTCTCCAAGTACGATTCTGTAACCATCTGTCAGGCTCCACCTGACAGTTGTTCTAATTACTGATTAGCAATTATCTTGCTAATCAGAGTATCATGAGGCACTTTGTCAAAGACTTTGTTGAAGATATACTATATCTACAGCATTCCCACTGTTTACCAGGGAGTTTACTGGATCAAAAAATGAGATAAAATTAATTTAGCAGGATTTGTTTTTGACAAAACCATGTTGGTTTCTAGTTATTACTGCATTGTTTTCTATGTTCTTGCATAATGGCCGCTTTATGGTCTGTTCCAGAATTTTGCCTAGGATTAATGCCAGGCAGACTGTTATGTCGTTGCCAGGTTCCTTTTTCTCCTTTTTGAAAAAAGGGACGCTAGCTCTCCTCCAGTCATCTGACACTTTACCCATCCTGCATGATTTCCAGAAAACAATACACAGTGGTTCTGCAATCTCTTCAGCCAGTTCCTTCAATATCCTTGGATGCAGTTCATCTGGCCCCAGGGATTAGAACTCATTTAAAGCAGCAATGTACTCCTTGACTATTTGTTTAACTACTTTATGAGGTCTTTAATTATCTATTCACTAAGGCTTTCACGGCCGGGATCTAATGGTTGTTGTGGGGTTTTCGGGCTCTTTGGCCATGTTCTGAAGGTTGTTCCTCCTAACAGTCTCTGTGGCCAGCATCTTCAGAGGACAGGAGTAGCACTCTGTGCTCTGGTGCAGTTTGTTTGGGAGTTATTTATGGCTGTGAGATCAGCTTTTGTCCTTTTCAGGAGATGGGTGATTATGGTGATCAGTGTTTTTGTTATGGGTGTATTGTTGTGATAAGGAGGAGAGATTATCTGTCACTGTGATTAATGGGTTTCGTTAGCTGGTCTTTTGTGTGTAGTGATCACTGGTCCTTGTGGCTAGGTAGAGTTCATTGACTTTTTGCAAGCTGTATTTTTCAGTGCTGGGAGCCAAGTTTTGTTGAGTTTCAAACTTTCTTCTTTTTTGTTGAAGTTCTGCTGATGTTTGTGGATTTCAATGGCTTCCTTGTGCAGTCTAAAGTAATGATTGCTGGTGTTGTCCAGTATTCCAGTATTCTGAAATAGAATTTCATGGCCAGCCTGTTTTAGGGCATGTCCAGCTACTGCCGATTTTTCTGGTTGTTTTAGTCTGCAGTGTCTTCATGTTCTTTGATTCTGGTGTGGATGCTTTGTTTTGCGGTTCCAATATATACCTGGCCACAACTGCAAGGTATCCGGTATACTCCTGCAGTGGTGAGGGGGTCCCTTCTGTCCTTTGCTGACTGTAATATTTGTTGTATTTTTGTGGTGGGCTTGAACACTGTTTGTAGATTGTGTTTTTTCAAAGTTTCCCCATGTGGTCCGTGACCCCTTTGATGTATGGCAGAAATACTTTATTTGTGGGTGGCTGTTTTTCTTCTTCAGTTTGTTGTTTTCTTGATTTGATGGCTCTTATGATTTGCCTGTAGGGCCCAATTCAGATGGTTGAGTTCAGTGCTGAGTAACTGAGCTTCACAGTTCCGATTAGTGCTACTCTTGTCCTCTGAAGATGCCGGCCACAGAAACTGGTGAAACGTTAGGAAGAACAACCTTCAGAACACGGCCAAAGAGCCCGAAAAGCTTACAACAACCTCTTTAATTATATTGGGAAAATTAAGTACATATTTCAGCATGCTGTACCAATGGGATTTAGAAAATTTTACTTGAGTAAACTACATCTCGAATTTACTAAGGAATTCAAGAATCACCAGCATTTACTTACAATGTTTATAAAGTTTGAAGGAAGGAGGCTTCAAGATCTATTCTCACCTAAATTATCAATTTAAGATATTTCTAGAATTTGAACACTTTAAAACTATTTCAACTTTTAAAAATACTATACACTAAAAAGCCCATGTAAACCCTCTTTATGAATATATGGATGAAGTTATGCATACAAGGATGCATAAGATAAAGCTAATGTACACTAATGTAAGAATGGGTTGATTACCTTTATGGGATCACTAAATATCAATCAGACTGCATGCTTCATTTGGAAAATTCCACTTCTTCAAGCTTAACACAACTCCTTCATGAAGAGTGGACAAAAACTGTACAAACTGGACAAAAAGAGTCTAAAATATGGCAGTACGTGTTTGTGAGAGTTTATGTAATTTCTCTGAGGCAGCTGTCTGAAACCTCTTTGCAGCATGATCAGGAATTTTTACACCCCTCTCTTTGGACCAAAAGGGTGCAAATTACTCTGTGATTGTCCCCCCCCTCAACACATGGTCACATTGCCTGCTGTGAAACTTCAGTTTCTTTTTTACAGTGGTGGGTGGTGGGGAGAACAGCACAAAACCATAGCAGCCTCTAGTAAAAGTTACAGGTTATAATTTGGGTTATAATTTAGTTGATTCATCAGGTAGAAATAGCCAATTTTGCCAAATAAAAGTCAAAATAATGTTTTCCCCTGGTGAGCATAAGATGCTTCTTCAGATTGTAGTCATCTCTGGCTGATACAAAGAATCCTCATGGTCTTGAGAGTCCACATTGTCTTGTATGTGATGCTGTATGTAGCCATTAATAATGTTTTATATAGTCCAGAAAGAACACGGATAGGCTGCATGGTTCCCCCTAATTACACAAATGTAAGAGTGGAATTTTCTTCACGAAAGCCTGCAGTTTGTTCAATTTAGTGGTCCAATACTGGTCCCACTCTACTATGTCATTCTCCACCCCACATCACTGCCAAAAAGAAAATGAAGTTTCACAGCAGGCAACATATGTGTGTGTTGATATGTGGGGCAATCACAGAGCGATTTGCAGCATTTTGGTCCTAAGAGAGGGGTATAAAACTTCCGGGCAATGCTGCAAAGAGACTTCAAACAGAAGTCTTAGAAGAATTACATTAATTTTCACAAACATGTACCACCACCATGCAGCAGTAATGGCAGCTGACTTCCCCGGTGACTTGGCTTTGGAAAAGAATAGATAGGGTTGTGCAAACATGTCATACTGCTAAGGAATATATCAATACCATTGGAACAAAATAACAGAAACTACCTGGCTAGTGGGAAATAAACCAGTTGGCCAGGCAAATGATTTGATAATGGCCATGTGTCGTATGACAGGAAGTTTCTACAATGATCTAACAGGAATAGCCCTAAGACAGTTAGTATGGTGTAGTGGATAGTGATGGACTAGAATGCAGGTTGAAATCCTCATTCAGCCATGAAAACTCACTGGGGTGTGTGGAACTGGTAAAACTCCTTGTGATGGACAACTCTCAGAACACTCCTGTCAATCAGGTCAGAGCTCTGATATGGGAGCCTATGGCATAACAGGAGGGGCAGAACCAGGAAAATAAAAGGACAGTTTAGACAGTTAGGACATTTTAGGCAGTTAGGACTGTGGTTGTGTTAGAGAGAAGAGTAATCGAGAGATAAAGAAAAGGAATAGGACAAGTGTTGGAAAGTTTATGTGGTTAAGATTGGAAAGAGTTAAAAGTGCTAAGACATAAATAAATAGTTAAATATATAAATACCTTGATTAAAGTGAATCTATATAAGCAAACTTAAATATAATCAAAGCAACGTTTATTGAATGAATAATAAAAGACCATCCGTGATTTTCTTTATATGATTTACCTACAAATCCATAAATATTGTTATACTGGACAACACTGATCTAATAGTCATATTTGGTACAGAGAGGAACAGATCCTCTGGTGGCAGCGAAAAAGAGTGAAAAGTACATGTCATGCCTGAAAGGGAATCTGGGTGTGTAAAAAAACAACAACAGGGGAACTGGGTGTGTGTGACATAAAGTGGTGACCAGCAGTGGGATATGAGTG